GTTAGTTTAATAGTAAAATTACACGATAACCGTGGGCTAGAAAAATGTGAAAAACATGTAATAATCTATTAAATGCAAATCTATGTGTGTAACATTGTTTAAAAATGTGATTGGGTAATGCTAACGGACATTGCATTTTGTCATAGAAATATAGGTTCGAACCATTAAGATAACACTTATAGCAAGAAAATACAAAAAAAAACCCCAAATTCATATTTTACGTAATTATTGCAAAATTTCTTTACTTATTTGCATAAGGTAGCTAAATTTACTCTAATTTGGCATTTAATATTTAGAATAAGTTTATAATTATATATATTTTTTTATCTTAGTCGGTAAATTCATACCAGATACTAATTGCAAAATAACGTACATTGATTTCAAATTACAAAAAATATAAAATAATTAATATTCGTCATAATTGAAAAATAATTTTTGTTCAACATAATTCTAATAAATTTAGCCTAATAATGAACCAATAGAACAGTTTAATCCTTTCGAACAGCGATGTCAATTTGTTATTTGTATATATCTTTTTAATACCGAAATGGCAAAAAAGCAGAAATGAAAGTATAATAAAAATACTAAAAATACGCGCTTGCAAGTCGATAACAATATTTAATAAAGGTTCCGAAAATAGTAAAAATACTCAAACTCCGAGATACCGAATAGAACGATTCGATGCAATACCCTTAGTTTCGCTCCCCTTAAGCACATTGTTTCACTCTTGTGTCTAGGTAAAAAATTTTTATGAATTTTCTTCAGCTATAAAGAGAAAGAAAGAAAAAAAAATAGAATAGAAAGTTCAAATTAAATAGTAATTTTTTTTGGATCAAATTAAATAGTAATATTTTTTGGATCAAAATTTATTTTTGTATTATGTCGCAATATAATGCATAAATAAAAATAAGACACTTACTTTTTAGTAGTTTTGCCATTACCTCTTTACACCAACTAATTTTTTCATATTCTATATTTAGTAGCTGTTCTTTTTCTTTTAAAACTGTCAAATTTTCCTCCCAATTTTTAATTGCCTTTTCCATATCTTCCAAGGAAGTACGGCCTTCAACCTCCTTATGATCTCGATAAACACAATAAAATGATAAAGGAGACGGCACAAGTTTGCAAAAGGCTTCTACAGCAGCTCTTAATGCCTTTAGACCAGTAGAATGTTCAGTTTTTTCATCAGCTTCTAAACTCATATTAGCATCAATTTCTTCTCCCAAAATTTTTTTCATCACATTTTTGATTGCTCCAATTTTTTTACTATCAATATTCTGTTCTCTATATTCTGAATCTTCGAAGCGGGAATAAATTTCTTTGAATTTTCCAACAACTTCTTTTAACTTTATCTGCGAATTTTCTAACACTTGGCTTTTTTCTTTGTCATTAGCAAGGCATTCTTCAAATTTTCGATATTATTCATTTTCTTTACGAATTGCAGCCAAATCGGAAATAGCAACGCTCATCCAACCACCAGCCGATATAACAAAACCTGGCACCAAAACAAGAGGAAACCATATTCCTGAGATTGCCAAAGCTTTACCGCTTAGTATAGCAGTATGTCCTAAAGTATTAGCAGTAAATCTTTGACTCATATGCCTTTTTAATTCTTCTTTACGCTCTCCAATTAGTTTAATTATTTTTTCCCGCTCAATAATAAATTCTTTTAAATAGTTGATGCTATTATTTAAATGAAAATCAACGTTATTAATTGCTTCATTAGTATCACTTATTACTGAATTGAATTCATCAATCATTTTACTAAATTTAGCAAGTAGTTCAGGTCGATAAACATTTTGGCAAGTTTTTAAATGTGTTAATAATTTTTTACGAGATTCTTCTCGTGATGGTTTTGAAATTGACAGATAACGACCTTTGGGTGGTGGATTATCTACATAAATAATCACAGTACGAGCTAGTTGTTCCGAAAATTTCTTAGTTTCTTCATGAAACATTATACAATCCTTTTTACAAGCCTCATCATCTTCGAAATCGTGAAAGCCAGTGCAAACGATAGTAATGTAATTAGTTACTTGATCATCAAAAATAGCATTGCTAAGTAAATTGAAAGCTTCAACTTCCTCCTTAGTAAAACGGTTATTAGTCACAAATAGTATTTGATTTAAACCTTTACTAATAACATCAGCTTTATCTTTCAATTTACTTAATATTTCTCCTGTTGACTTGATGGAATCACCAATTCCTACAGTATCAATAACATGATATTTTATTCCTTCATATTCAAATTCTTCAGACTTTGGTTTGTCAGTTCCACGAATGCGATTTGTAGTTTCTTCAAATTCATTAGTCCCAGTTATAACATTTGCCAAGGTGGATTTTCCTTTACCAGAGATACCTATTAGCAATATATTTCTAATTTCCGCCATAGTTTTATATTTGTTGTTCTATATAAAATATAACTAAGGACAACTGACAATAGCTTTTATTCAATCGTTCAGTATTCTCAATATGTTACTTGTGGTCTTCAAATTACAAAACTTATCCCGGGCTAAAACTCTATTTTGAATCTTTTTATATTAGTCCTTTCAGCGGTTCAGACTCTATTCATTGAAATATATTTACCCTAATATAGTAATACGGAAGCCTTACGGAAGCTTTATTTGGTTTAGCAAAAAAAACTGATATTATAATACCACATGGCTGATAAAAGTCTAAACCGCTGAAAAGGGCCATTTTTTGGTATGATAATTCTTATTAGCACTAATCGAATTCTTGTGCATTTGATAAATTTTTATCCGGTGGTATTTTTAAAATAATATCACTTTATACAAATAGATTTCGATAATCAAAATACTAAGTTGATTGGAAACTCAATTATACTATACTATTAAAGGAGAAGTCGTTATCGTATTGAAATTTCCTTTTTCGTATAGTGTTAGGAGAATGGTTTTTACTTATGAGACATCTTGCTAGTAAAATCATGCCTTTTTAGAAACTAGCCGTTAGCCCGTGCCTCCGGCGCGGGTAATGGTAGTAATTTTATGAATTCATAATCTTTGTCATTTTTCAGTTACATTATGATAGGATGAGCTACGTCAGAGGTGGTTACGTTATTGATGTACATCACCATTAAATAGTATTTAGGCACCAAGAATGTAACTCGAAAGCTGCAAGTTTCGCTTTTTTTGTATTGTATCTACACAGACAAAGAATCAGAGTGATGAATATCGCCAAGCGTATGGTTATATGGCAATTCTCAATGGTGTTGCCCCACAAAATCTTGCAATTGATTAGATGTTATATTGCATTGTGTAATGGCGTGAGTGCAGATTTAATTTTTCACATTCAACTTCGTAACCGGATTCGTGTATTTAATTGTGTCTAAATTTGGAAATTTGTATGCGAATGTCTAGTTCTTTTCTAGTCGATCGCCGGGGGTTTTTTAAAATTGTAAGAACTTGTTACGTAACAAAGTGATAGAGAGTAAGGCTGTAAATCGATTCTAAAAATCAAAACCACCTTAAAATCGTTATAGAATCGATGGACAAATCCTAAATATATAGTTGTTTCTTATATTGACTTTCCTGATTAAATTTTGATCTTTTTTAATGTTTATTACTGTATGAGGAAGATTTCATTGTTAATGGAATATTCTTTGTTGAACATAGCATTTATCATAATCGATTCCTTTTGAAACTACATTCATTTCTCTTTGACAGCTTGTTTATATATATTTAGACATTAGTAATTTCAATACTTTAATAATGGGTTTATATTAAAGTTGGTCACCGAAATCTTTTTTGCCAAATCCGAAAGTTTCGGATTATAGTTTCCGAAACCTTATCCGAAACTCGAAACCTCACCCGCAACTCGAAACCTCTTCCGAAACACGAAACTCCAAAACTTTATGATTGAAAAAATTTAGAATGCTTATCGATTTGAAAAATTTTCAAACGTTTAGGTGTTAGCGAATCTTCTATAAGTCGGTTTTCAAAGATATGGGTGTATTGAAAAGCTTTAATCTTGAGTTACTTTTAAACCAGTTGAAATTCTTGATCATATATCTAACATTAGCACCTATTCGTGTGGCATGTTTATTATAAAAGTCTATTTTATATCTGGAGCCTTTTATATTTCTTGTCAAGATTTATTTGTTGACAAAAATTGCCTTTCCCATAAACTTTCGCACAAACTAAACACACCAAACATGCTAAACAAGTATTCAAACGAAAGTTTAATAATGTTGAATGTGTCAACATTACAATGATAGAACAGGGAATACTTCCGTTAAGAATAAAATAGAATAAAATGGAATTATTATAGCCAATAAATCTCAAATTATTTCAAAATTGAATTTTAAAAATATTCCATGTCTCTGAAAACAAGTATGAAATATAAAAAGTATGAATCTAATTGTAATATGTTACACACTTATTTGCAACAACTCAATTAGTACAACCAATAAAAATAACCAAAACTTCGTGTAATCTAAACCCTAACCCAACTACTATTGGCTAATATGAGGTTATTACATGTAACAGGTTGTTACGAAAACATTTATTCATATAAAAATGTTTATCCAAAATCAATAACTTAAACCGGATCTGCCGAAAAACCATCCGACTATCTTTTTATCAGATGTTCCAGAATTTATGAAAACAATGTAATATGTTTATAATATATGTAGTGTACAAGTATATGTGTTAGGGAAATAAGTAAAAGTGTCACGAAGTAGAACTATCGAAATAAATTTAAATAGATTATAAATTTTAAAGTTTCTGATTATAGTTTGAGGTTTCGGATTCTAGTTTTAGGGTTTCGGGGTTTCGATTTATTAAAAAAATCCGAAACTAATTTCGGATTAGAGCTTTCCGAAACTAGTTTCGGGTAGGTTTCGTTTCGAGTACCAACTCTAGTTTATATCCAGTTAGTTCAAATAACATTGATTTCCTTAGATATTTAACATTTTAGGCATAGGAGGTAGAACCTGTAATAATAGTGAATAGATTTTCATATGCTTTTCATTGTGTTTAATAAAGTCATTTACCATCTAATCAAGCAATAGTAATTGCATTCTTGATAGATTAAATTTCAAATTGAGATCTAGATTTGAAACACCAATACTGTTATAGTGCAGTACCATTATGAATTGTAGCAACATCATCAAAATATGTTGGTATGTAACACTTACCTTTCAGTAACCTGTTCCTGGTTTTACGCGATGCATTGCGCATCTATCTGGTGATGTATAGTTGCTTAATGATTTTTATAGTTCGCAATGTAGTTATGCTTAAACCAGAAACGTAATCAGTGAAAAAATTTGACATGTGCATTTGTGCTTCGCACATTAAAATTATTTACGCACATAAAAAATATAAATAATGTGCACTATATTGTTAATAATAAATCAAAAGCACACATTATATTTAATAAGACGTGTGGCATACAAATAATAAATTTAAAATTATGTGTGCAATGCACACATAATTTTGATACTAAATTTTTTTCTAAACGTAATACAATTAGATGCTTTTTAAAAGTTAATGCATCTTTGTTTTTACCTTTTCAAATTTAATTATTATTTTTCAAATTTTTAACTTTAATTATTAATGAAAATACATAAAAATAAGTTCTAAATGATGTAATTACTAAATTACTCATGTTATTGAAATCATAAACAACTCAATATTAAATAATTATGCTATATTTACTAACCGTTTATTATTGAAATCATGAACTCATTCACTATTAAAAATATTATTAAAATTGTAAAACTATCCACTATTGAGATCACTAAAACATCCAATATTGAATTATAAATCTATATATTTTTGAAATTATAAATTTATCTACAATTAAAATTATTGACTTATCTGCTATTACAAACCATAGATTACTTACTGTTAAATTGTAATTTACCCAATATTAAGATCATTAAATTATTAGTGCTAAGATTATGAACTCATTAATTGTTAAAATCATAAACTTTTCACTATTGAAATATTAATCTATTAACTAATATTTATTTACTCATTAGAATTATTTCAATTAATTTAACTAGTTTATTTTATTTATAATATGTATTTTTAGTAATATGAAAAGGATTAAATAAATTTGTATTTATGTTATTATATAGATTGGTGAAATAATACTATGATAATACAAATAGAAAAATATCAGATAAACCTGCTTAGCTTAAATATATTTATTATTGTACCAATAGATAAAATAAATACAAATAAAATAATAAATAAGAAATTAATAGCAATTGTAATTTTTAATTATATAATAACTCTTATATATAAATTTATAAAAATAAGAAAAATTAAATAGATTATTTTAGGAACTTTGATTAAATAAATAATTATTATATTTACAAATTAAATTAATAGTGATATAAAAAGTTAATAAAAGATAAGTGACTTAAATATATTAAAACTAATAATTAATATAATATATAATAGAAGTATAGCTTCTGTTAACAAAAAAAGATAATTGGTCTAGAAAAACAACAAGCAAGCTTTCAACATACTCTCTATTGAAGTTTAAGGCTGCTTACAAACTAAAACTCTTTTTAATACCCACTTACTACACTTTATGAAATTTTAACAAAAGTAGAAAATTTGTTATACTTTATCAAAAAATTAATAATAGTAATCACTATTAAATAAAAAAAAGCATATACATATGTATCTATTTTGGAATGAATAATATATATCACAAATTAAAATAAAATTAGATTAAAATAAAATTGTAAACCTCTTTTGCTTACTCTTTAATCTTATAAAATCTACAT